TGAGGTGGATGGCTATGGTGGGTGGGTGAAGAAGATGGAGGAGGGAGATGGTGTGAGGTGGATGGCTATGGTGGATGGGTGAAGAAGATGGAGGATGGAGGTGGTGTGCGGTGGATGGTTATGGTGGATGGGTGAAGAAGATGGAGAAGGGAGATGGTGCGAGGTGGCCGATCCTTCGTCCTACTTCACGCGTGCGGCTTTGTCCCTAGGTCTTCCCTTGCCCTGGACTTCAAAAACCTCAGACTTGCAGTACTAGTCGTAAAGCCGATATGCGGAAAGCACAAACTTTGCACAAAGACACAGATTTCAGAACACGCAGTCTTTGCAGATCTACAGATTTTGCCGTTTTTGCCATTTTTGCCTGAGGGGGAGAGCCGAAAAACACAAGCTTGCATTTTCTAATCTCAACGAGGTCAGAATCAGTCCTATTTTGGTGGGCTCACTGACTCTGCCCTAGGGAAACACCCTACCAAATTTGGTCGGATTCCGTCATCGTTTGCCCATACTTGTCGTTCTCGGGTGTCGTCCGGGCTTTAAGGCGAACAATTCGGTAAAGTTCATTTTCAGTTTCAGCAGGAAAATAGACTCAGATGACCTGCAGGTTCTGCAGGTAATCTGTTTATGCGTAGGATATGAGGTCTAAGAAGTCCCAGCCCCCATATCCTTGGTTTGACGGAACTCGGCCAAAGTGCCCCCCGGTCTCATTGGCCCCTTAGTCTCATTTTTGGGTCGGCCCATGCTCTAGAGGTTGACCGTCAGTTTTTCAGCAACAGCAACCGCAGCGAGGGACTTGGTCAGTCTTCAGCAACAACAGTAAACATTGTTATGCACAACAGCAGTAGCAACAACAGTCCTAGCAAAAAAACAATCATTTTTCTTACTCCCTACTTACCGTGTTTGATTAGAGTACGGGGGTCCTGCTAGGCCATATGTGTGTCAAGTAGGTTGACCAAGGGTGAATCGGACTAACACCTAGTGTGTGAACTTGACAAAATAAGAGTGTGACTAGTGAGGAACACGTGCATGTGAGTGGAGGAACAACCAAGTATGAATCGGACAATCACCAAGTGCATGAAATTGGCAAAGTAACGGTGCGACTAGTGAGAACACATGCATATGAGTGATGGAACAACCAAGTATGATTCGGACAATCACCAAGTGCATGAAATTGACAAAGTGAGAGTCTGACCAGTAAGAACACATGCACATGAGTAGTGAAACAACCAAGTATGAATCGGGCCATCATCAAGTGCATGAATTTGACAAGGTGAGAGTGTGACTAGTGAGAACACATGCACATGAGTAGTGGAACAAATACGTATGAATCGGACAATCACCAAGTGCACGAAATTGACAAAGTGAGAGGGTGACTAGTGGGAACACATGTATGTGAGTACTGGAACAACCAAGTACGAATCGGACCATCATCAAGTGCATGAAATTGACAAGGTCAGAGTGTGACTAGTGAGAACATATACACATGAGTAGTGGAACAACTAAGTATGAATCGGATAATCACCAAGTGCATGAAATTGACAAAGTGAGAGTGTGATTAGTGAGAACACATACACATGAGTAGTGGAACATCCAAGTATGAATTGAACTCTCACCAAGTGCATGAAATTGACAAAGTGAGAGTATGACTAGTGAGAACACATGCATGTGAGTAGTGGAACAGCCAAGTATGAATCGGACAATCACCAAGTACATGAAATTGACAAGGTGAGAGTGTGACTAGTGAGAATACATACATGTGAGTAATGGAACAGCCAAGTATGAATCAGACAATCACCAAGTGCATAAAATTGACAAGGTGAGCGTGTGACTAGTGAGAACACATGCACATGAGTAGTAGAACAACTAAGTATGAATCGGACAATCACCAAGCGCATGAAATTGACAAAGTGAGAGTGTGACTAGTGAGAACACATGCACATGAATAGTGGAACAACCAAGTATGAATCGGACAGTCACCAAGTGCATGAAATCGACAAAGTGAGAGTGTGACTAGTGAGAACACATGCACATGAGTAGTGGAACAGCCAAGTATGAATCGTGCAATCACCAAGTGCATGAAATTGACAAGGTGAGAGTGTGGTCAGTGGGA